CTAACTCCTCAGTTTACATCTTTACTGGCTGGCTTTCTTGCATGCATGCCAGCTCCTGGCTTCTTTACTATTCATTTAGTCCAGGAAGAGCACACACCAAGTGGCTTTCCTCAGCCTGAAGAAGGGTGTTTTATACTTGAAAGTTTGCAAAGAAGAATTTTTCCAACTATCTGAGTTGGTCTAATTCAAGATATCAGATTTACCCAAAGAACCTTTGCAATTTGACAGGCATGCTTTTGTGCATGTTCTGGTTCTAGGACAGGATTTGGGGACCTCTTTACAAAGGGCTTCTGTCATCTTTTGGTTTTATAAAGCTCCATATTCAAGGAGAAAGGGATAAGTTCTGCTCCTCAGCAAAGATTACTTTTGATCTTCCTTTTCACTGAGGTGTTTCCTGTGAACAGTTAATTCCTGTATTCAGTTTTCACTTGTCATGGTTCTGCTGCTATGGTACCTGTGTGATTTTTTTGTCTTCTTGAATCAAGTGCAAAATTGACCACAGCCATTTTTTAAACCAGATGGCAAACAGTTCATCTAGTTTTTAAATCAATGTTGGCCTTCTCCCCACAGCCAGTTTCTTTAGTTGGGTGGCTGGTGTGTGTGTGTGTGTGTGTGTGTGTGTGTGTGTGTGTACACACTAGGCTTACCCAAATCCAAGACAACTTTGAAAATAAGATAATCCCCCCAATAATTATATACAATATATGAAAAATTATAACAAATGTATAAATTTTCCATGTAGAATCCTAAATATTGGAGCATTGTTTTAAATCCCCTTCCACACAAACATGCACAGTCTTGCAGAAATTGGGGCATGTGGCTAGGGGAGCAGGTGGCCCCCTTGCCCTGTGCCCCCACCACTTCTTCCCCCTACAGCCTGCTTGCATGCCCTACCATCTGCTCCCCACAGCCTCTACCACCTTCCCTGCTTCCTTCTCCTCCCCCTCACCCCCCACTTATTGTTACGCATAGCTCTGGCTCTGTTCCCTCCCAGGACATGGAGCACAGCCCAGGCTTGGCCACTCAGCAGCATCCTGCGGCCCAGAGCCACCATCACTGCTGATTGATGGGCAGAGGAGGAGCTTCCTGTGCCTGCCCCAGTAGGGAATAAAGCTAGAACCATACCTGACAAAAAGGGTGGAGGGGAGGGGGCTGCTGTAGGTGTCTCTGGCTTCATCTGAGCAGGGGGGAGCTGGAGTTAGGGCTGCAGCAGCTGCCTACTCTCCCTCTTATACCTTGTACTCAAATCCAGAATGAAGGGCTTCCTCCCCCCATGTGGAATGGGGGGTTGTCTTGGATTTTATATAGGACTTTTATGTATGAATAAGATTCATCTTGTTCTTTCTAGTGGAAAAAAAGGAGTAATTAATATTGGTGAGCTTGCAGAATGCTAAACTCCAAAAATTTCAGTTTTTCCTGGTCTGCATTAGAACTTTTTAAAAATTAATTGATGTGCAGGACCTAAGAAAATGATTAATGTCATACTAATGTTGACTTTATTCCATGCAGATTCTGCCAACTGATGTTTATGAACAACAGAAGCCAGCCAAAATGGAGATTTGACTACATTCCCAGTTCTTCTATTGGTCAAGCCAACTGTACACAAGAAAACTTTCCAGAAATTTGAAAATTAGCATTTTGACCTTTATCTAATTTTTTAAAAACTAATTAATGCACAGTTTCCACAAACACATGTATACACAAACTGTCTTAGCCACTGAGCCATTCACTAAGAGCACAAATGCAGAGATCACAAGTCCTGATGGTTTTTTGTCAATACAGAAAGTATTACATTTCTCTTAACACAGAGAAATAGGTTAGATGAAACTTGCAGGTTCAGGACATCTGAAGCAAAAAACAATTCATAAATAAAGGAAATGCGCAACAGTCTTTTTTTATCAGATTTGCACATGGTTTAAAGCTTTTAAAAATATGTATAATTTTAGGACCTTTAATTGTGAATTCAATTTTTATAAAACATTGTTTTCTTGTCTTGTACATATTTGTCTGATTGTATACTTTGACATATTCTAACCAGAGATAATTTACACAGTGCAGAAATGGTTAGGAATGTAAAATGAATTACCTGAAAACCTATTGTAACTTTGTAAAATATATAAAGAGTGGTATGTTAAAGACTTTGACTCCAGCTCTTCTCTCCTGTTGCACATTACCTATATACATTGAAGAGACATTCCCTAAAGCATAATGTGAAATCTTCAATATGATCACACCAGAGATTTAAGGATGAATCAAGTGATAGAAGGTATCTGAACCAATTTTTTGCTTTTTTTTTTCTTCCTCATTTTTCTCTACCCCACCCCAAAGCTTTTGCTTAGGTGGTTTTCAACAGAGGTTCTTATGACCCTCTGAAATTTGGGTATTGCAGTGAAATAAGAAAATGACAATTTGAGAGGGTTGCTGGCTTGAGCTAGCAATAAAAACATGAAAGTGGTTTGTGTTCTGATGACTAACAGGTTAAACATGTCTGGCTTTTAGACTACTTTTAATGAACTAGTACCTCTGTCCAGAAGCTGACATTTATAATTGATAGACTTAGCAAAGAGGCCATGGACTTGCTCCTGCCTTCTAGAACAGAGTTCTGACCTACTAGCACAAACGTATAATAACTTTTTAGTATTTTAAGTGCTGTACCTACCTGGATTTCAGTTTCCAGTTATGCTGCTCTAACACCCTTTTGCAAGCTATATATACATTTGTTAAAGCAAGGAGGAAGATAAGATGAGATTGAATGCATCTGAAGGTTTAAAAAAAAAAAGGTTATGAATTTCTTTTGGATAAAATAATGGTAGTCTCTTGTTTTAAAAAAAAAAAAAAAGCAGAGAGGAGTGTGTCCTTTACCCTGTTCAAAATGAGTATTAACAGAACACTGGATAACAGACTGACTTGGCCATCTCAACTCTTAAGTGACCTTTGTAAAATGAACAGTGTAGAATTTCTTCTGGTTGACAAAAATCACTGCCTGTAAAGGACTTAGCAAATTGATTCGCCCCATTATAAAAATCTCTTTGGCTTTAGTTCTAGAGCTTGACATGAAAACACATTTGTTTTCCTGGAATCTTGTTTGTTCAACTTATTTTATAGGCATCTAGTTTCTAATTACATGTAAACACAAAGAGAAAATAGGATGGGGGCAGGAAAACTTAAAGGTACTCTGACCAGGAAAACTTAGATTGGATAAATAGAGTATCTCTAAAGTGTGATTCAAAACAGGTAAAAGCATCCAAAAAAACAACGCCCCCCCAGTTGTTAGTATGCTATTTGAGTCCAGTGTTCTGGCTTTTCTTATTTGTTTTAACAGCTATTGTGTAGCAAGTGTCTTGCACTTTCAGAACACTCTGCTATGGTCATGATGACATCTTTTTCTTCACAGAATGCTGTTTTCAGGGACGTAAGATGACCTGAAACTTGGTATAAGTAATCTGTTTACCTCTTGGCAGGGGAAGTAGGCTGGGGAGGATGCATCGAGCATTGTGCAGAAGAGAACAAGCAATTATTCAACTTCTAGAAATTCAGAAGCAAGTTCCAAACCTTTTATTCCAAGAAACTTAGTATTTTAATTTCATTGTCTTAAGCAATTTATGGTAAGATTTAGCCTTATTTTTATCTACAGCTGCCTGAATGGTCCAAAACTATGCTGCCATCATAACAGCTGCATATAAGGGAAACCAAACAAATAGAAATAGCTAGATAGATATTAGGTAGATAATAGCCATTATGGATAGGAAGTATTTGTTGTACTGTGAACTAAGTTCACTTTGATTGGATGAGACTCGGTCTTGCTTTTCTATTACCTATGACAAAATTCATTTACCACAGTTAAAGGAATATCACTACTCTTTAAAGTAATTTTTTAACAGAAAACTTGAAACCAAATATAGCTCTTTGTAATGCTCAGATTACAGGTTGAGTCCAAAGTACGAATCTTTGGCATGTAGAAAAGTATAGAACATTTGTTACGTAACAGATATGTTAATACAATGAAAGTAATATTTGGAACTGATCATCTTAAGGAACTGTAGAAGGAATTCTGTGATAAATGCTAATGATCCCTTGCAGTCTATATTTAAAATCATTATGATATACTCAGGAAATTTCACTTTCAAAACAATACTCTTTGAATAATTTGCATTTAATCTGGCAAAATTTAAGAAGCCTAAATTTATGGAGCCAAATGTTCTGTGCTGCCTTTTTTAAGAGAGAAACATTTTTGAAAAAGCATTTGGCACCCAAAGATGGTGGCAGAAAACACTCAATTCAGGCTAATACTTCTCTACCTCCATTTCACTGACTTTTAAGAAAGATGAGACCTCATGTTGTATTTAATTCTTAATTTCTAAAGTATGTGGATGACTTCTCATACTGATTTTCCCTATCAAATATATAGAACTGGCAAGACCTGAGGTGTAAGTTTTTTCTTTTTTTTTTTTTTTTTTTTTTTTGAGATGCAGGTAGGGGTGATTTTTTAAATATAATCCTACTCTGTTATGCTCACATGTTTAATAGCACCATTTGTATAGCATGACACTTGTATCACTTGGCTATAAATGCTTACTTCCCTCACAACTGTTTCATTTCATTTTAGGGTAATTTATGAACTGTTAATGATTATTCCATCAGAGTTTCTTTTAATCAGTGCAAATTTAGGATTTACAAAAATGCCAAAGGAGTTCTTGAAAACTCCACATTAAACTTTCTATGTGGTGTTTGCAGCTTTTGAAAGCGTGGTCTTGAGAATGGATTTATCCATTGCATTTTTATCACTATTGCCCATGTTGAATTTCAGGGCTGCTGTACCTCTGAATGTTAGAAATCCAGACAGAAGGACCAGCTGGTGACCCCCTCCTGGAGAATACACTGTCTTTAAAAAAAAAAAAAAAAAAAAAAAAGAAGTTAGGAAAGCAATAAGTTGTAACTATATAAATTTTTATATACCTATTAACCTTGAAATATTTAATTACCTTAACATTTTCAAGTAGGTAACATGTTAATATGCTGAACTACAGCCATGGTGGTAGATAGGGGAGATGAAACAGTTTCTAGTATATAATATATAATGTATTATAACTTAGAACATGATTCTTGGTGCCTCCTAACTCTACAAAGGGGAAAACAGATCTGGAAGTAACCAAGTTATTTCATTATTCTTGAAAGTAAGCGTTTGGCACGTGGATCTGTGCGTATTTCTAGCAATTGCTTTTTTGTTTAATCATCAACAGCTAGATGAGAGCCAAATAATTTTTCTGCCTACATCTTCCCTTGCAGCTTGCTCAAAATAGTCATTTTTAAATGTAGAAGTTGAAAACTAGTTACTTGGAAAACAAACCTTCTAGATCAGAAGCAAATATCTCTGAGTATCTCACTTCTAAACATTTTTGCTTGGGATGAAAGTTACACACACACACACACACACACACACACACACACACTGGTTTAAGTGATCTGAAACTGGTTTAAACCTGTAACAGAACAGAAGTTAAGTGCATGTAAACCACTTTCAAAATGGCTGAACCCAGTTTAAGATAACCTGGTTGGATGTAGATTAGACCTAACTGATTTAAGTTAAACCAGTTTATGGAACTTCTGTCCCAGATCCTCAAACTAGCTCTAACTCTCGTCTCCCAGCATCCCAAGATGTTTTACAGCCCTGGGCTATCTCCTCCAGTGGATCAGAGTTGGCAGGAAGCTGGGGAGAGGGCAGGACTCGGCTGATCCCACAACAGTTTGCCGGGTGGTGCAGGAGTGAAAAGCCCCCTATTTGGGGCTTTCTCCCTGTGCTGGCAGACCCCAGCTGGGAGAGGGGCAGTGTTGAGCCAGGGAGGTACGGGAGACTGGGGAGATTGTCTGATAGATCTCTGTGCAGCTGACAGCAGATGGGGGCATGTGTCCAGCAGCCAATCAATCCTGGGCTGCCACTAGGCTGGGTTTAGCAGCTTTAGGCAGTGGGGCCATGTGGGGTGGCCTGTGTGAGCATCCCCAGGTTCCTGGCCTGGGCCAGAGCAGGCTTCTGCCTGTCTTTGTCACCCAATCAATGAACATCAGTTATCGGTTTGATCTATGCAGCTTAGTAAAACCTGTGAAGATTGCATTGATTCAGTGTGGGCTTTTTGAGCTTGTGTACTTGGCCCTTAACTTGACTTAGAAAGCTAACAGACCATCATGGGGGTGGGTGGCACAACAGATACCTGTTTCTTTTGGGAAAATATTTTTGTATAAAGTTGATATTTGATCATTTAAAAAAAAATTCTCAAGACTCTCCAGTTTAGTTTAAAACAAAACTATAAACCATGTAATACCCTCCTTTTCTGCTGAGAAGCATCTCATCCAGTTTAGCTGTTGGATCTAGGATCATGTGGTAGAGAGAGACTTTACTGTCAATGGAGATTTAAAACTGAATGGAGGCATTGGCATGAATGTGGTGGTATTGAGTTCATAGTGCTTATCTCTCATTGCAGCAGAAAGTGAGCCATCAGTTTCTCCACTTCTCACACTAGGGAAACTGAGACCTAGAGTGGCAAACCTGCAGCACCTGTTACACAAATGGCATTGGAAGCCTCTGTGTATGGCATGCAGCAGATCAAGGAGGGGATAGGCAGCAGGTCAGGCATGTCATGGTGATCAAAATGGAACTGGGGAAGATGTGGGGCTATTTTGTAACATGCTTACCAGAAAGGTAGACCCCCCCCCACTGCCCTAGAAGCCAACATGAAGGGCTGGGCTTGCCAGTATCTGGTGCAATGACAGAGTAGGCCTGTCCAAGGTAAGCAGCAGTAGCAGCCTCTCCACAAGAGCCTGATGGTCACTCTAGACCTGATGCTCAGCTCAAGATCATACAATTTGTCAGCTCAAGGCTCTAAAAGGGTGGAGCTCCGAGGGTGACCTGCTTTGTGCATACCAACTGTTGGAGACCATTTTGAATATCGTGTTGTCATGGGCAGCTTGTATAGTTGGAAACAGTTGCATTGATGTTAAAAGACCTGAATCCACATGAGGCAATGCCTTACATCTGTGTAACTGTTGTTTCTTTGGAGTTCCAGCTTCTGTTTGAATTGGGAGTAATTTCACATCCCAGTAAGTTGCATTGTAGTAATGGTTGGTCACAGTTTGGCACTCCTCCTATGTGGCTTTCCCTGACTGGATGGTCTATTTACCCAAGTGGCCTGTACTGCTCTGAGGTCAGGGTGACTAGATGTCAGCTCCTTGCTTCAATGCTGGCATGTAGCCAAGTTCTGCGTCTGTGCTCACATGATCCAAAATCAATAAATCAAGCAAGCACACTTATTTTCCTAGCTAGCCCTGAGCTATGCCAGGTCATCCTGTTGTCAATGGGATTCAAGTTGAGGTCCAGAACCTTTCCACCTTTCGAGAAAGATGAAGGTACAGGAAGTACTGATATTGAGGTACAGAAGCTAGTAGGTTTTTTTTATAATGCCACAGCAGTGGTTATAAGCAGCATGCCAGGTGCAATTTTGCACAATGACCAAGCATTTGAAAGTAACCTAGAAGATGCTTAAGGACTGAACATGCACCACTGGTACTGCTCCAGCCATTTCTCCAGACTGAAGAGTTGGACAGAAATCTGACATGGTACACAAACATAGAATTTCATTTTGTCCCAGATATGGGCAGTGGATGCCAACAAGACCAAGAACCAATGTCTCCATTTAGGAGGAGCTACCAACAGTGAGAAACCCTTTACCTCACAGGAATTCAGCTGGAGTCTCCATCCTCCTGGTCAGCCTGTCCTCTCTGAACTGCCAGAAGCACTGCAAGAAGATTGGTAAGTGCTATTATATGAGTCTTTTTATTGCATGCAGAGATGCACATTTGTGTTTATTCCTGGTGCTACGTGCTTCCATCCTAGGTGCATGTGAGCTAGAATTAAGGTCTTAGATGCATGTTACTTTTTTTTGGTAGTCCTACATAAAGCTATTGTGCATGCATTCAGGCTGTTTTGTAAATGCTACAAAGATGGTGGACCCAACACAAACAGGAACACCTTTCAAACAGGAACACATTTGCAGTGCTATGTGTATTGTGTGCAGAGGTGTGTGTAGTAGCTCTCCACACCACCCCAGGAGAAGGGCCTGTCTTTGCAGCTACTGCTCCCAGCAGCAAATACCAATTGATTATTGATAGCCTGCCCCCCTACCCTCTTCTCCATCAGGACTGTCAGTGATTCAAGTTACCCTTGAGATGGGGAAAGTGCAAAGAAGCACTGAATTTGTTCTTGCCCCAGCCAAGGCGCTGTGTACACCCATAATGCTTTATTTTTGTAGTATTGCAAAGAGCCTCGCTAATTCCGTAGTGCTATGAATGAACATCTGTCCAAGGCCTGAGTTTTGCTTCCACTCCGCCAATTTACAGCCTTCCTCTGCACAATCAAAATAGTATCCACGTTCACCAAAAATAACTACCCTGTCTGCATGGCAATGGGCAGCCACGGTTCCTGCGTTGCTTTTCTGGGACCCTGCTTCCCCTTGCTAGCCATCATCTCCTACCACCCCTCTACTCCCAACTGTGTAATCAAAGCTTGTTGTGCATGGTGTTTTTCAGGCTCAGTACAGCGTCCTATTCCCTCTCTCCTCTCTCCTTTGCTCCAGACACTTGTGGGTTTAAAAAGAACATTTTTGACCGGGTTTAAGAAGAACATTTGCACAGGGACTTTTCATTCATTCAAAAAAATTGGTGCGAGTCTGTTATCTGTAGAAGTATTAGTGAAGAGAGAGTTTTATCCAGATAAATCATAGCAGGTATTTTTATCAAAATAAATCTAAGAAAGGTGCTGCTTCAGTTAGTAAAACTTTCATCAGTGTTTTCAGTAGATCTGACAAATACCATGTTGTGGCAATATGGAAACAGTGAGCAGTTCTTTACCTGGTTACTATGTGGCAGTGGAAATGCAGTTATCCTCTGAATGCTTAAAACTAGTTGTAAAGCATCATTGGTGGTCCAGGGACTTTTGTAGCCCAAAGTAAAAACCCTTAGCTATATTAAATGCTCTGGTAGGCCTCTAAAATTGCTAGTCAGGACAGCCTTCTCTCTGATCCCCCAACAGACCTCCCTCCATGCATTCATAACAATAGGAAATTGTTATAAAAGAAGCTAAGAGTTCAAGCTTGAAGTTCTGATGGGGAAGACTTTGGGGCTAGAGACAGATATTCAAAAACCTGAGCCTGAATTGATTCAATCTTTTCAGGTTAGTATAAGCTAAGCTAGTATAGTAAGCTAGTATAGCTAAGCTAAACCAGTTTGCAACTGTACAGACATCCCAGACATGCAGGCACATGCCTGCAGTAGCTCAGGCTAGAAGCCGGGGGATGCTACAGCAGCCCTCCCTTCCCTCCCACAATGCTGAGCTGAGAGGGGCGTGGCCAAGCCCAGGCAGGACACTCTGATTAGGGAGAGGTTCCCCGCTTCTGACCAGCCCAGCAGGGAATTGATAACTCAGTGTTTATAACTGCATTAAGAAAACAGAGAGATATTACCAGCTATCTGTTGATTCTGCCTTTGTCCTGTCTACCACAGCACGGACCGTAGCCAGCATGTGGTCTGCTAGCTAATGCTGAGAGGTGTCTGTGTAAGGCAGAGGGGGTGGGGGGCAGCCAGGCAAACGCCTGCAGTCTCTGCTGAGCTCCAACCAGAGAGCAGAGGGGAGGGGCCAGCCCTGCTGTGGAGCAGAGTGTCCCACCCAGCCCAGAAAGCATGCTGGGATGCTGGGGGAGTCCGGTTTCACTTAAACCAGAAAGGGACAGACATTGCATAAACTGGTTTGTGTGAATAGTTTCATAAGTAGGACATGTATATGCCCTTTTCACCCCAGAGGTAGATGACAATCTGGGCTTGAAAGCAGGCTGCAAAGAGTGCTCTCTGGTTCTTCATGACTTTGCTTCATTTTATTCGATGAGTGTTGTCCCCAGGTTAGCACTAGGTCTGTAACAGTTTTGTTGTGTACTCCAAGAGGTACCCCCTCTCCAATTGAAGGGATCAAAGCAGGTGCACAAGCGCTGTGGGAGGTTTAGGGACTCTCCTCCGCCTATAGAGCAGAGCCAGACCACCAATGGGGATTTAACCATATACCTTTTAATGAGAGAACAGTACTGGGAACATAACCAGTATAAACCAGGGGGTATAGGGGACACTACAATGCCCTGAGGGGGCAGGATTCAACAAAGGTTAGACACTTACAATCGTAGACACATTCATCCAGTTGACGACAAAAGACAGGGTTAACAAAATATAAAACACGAACAGCAGAACAAACAATACTGGTTGGTGAAATATAACAGGCACAAAATACAAAATGTCAAATAACAAGGAATATAGGGCCTAGGTACCTGGAATGGGAGAAAACAATGGCCCCTTTCCACTGCAACAAGAATTTTTCCCTGTTACTTCACTCACCTCAAGTCACCCCAGCTGGGACTTGAATGCCAAACTCTACCACACAGCCACCACTGTTGGTACTGTGCCAAGCTGCTAGAGGTCTTGGCCTTCCAGGAGCCCTGGCCTCACATCAAGCTGCCTGCCCTCTTATTGGAGGAGCTGGAAGCAGGGCTGGGAACCTCTCAGGTCACTGCTCAGATCCTTGCTGGAGCTGGGGAGCCTCTCCTGCTGGCCATAACCTCTCGTAGGGGAGCCTCTCCTGCCGGCTGCACACCGCACTGCTGAGGGTTCAACTGCTGCCTGCAGGTCCCACTCCTTCAGGTGCTTCTGGGGCAACTGCTCCTGCTCCGCTGGCCCAGCTCTTTCAAGCTCCTTCCTTGTGGTCCCTCACTGGTCTCTCCTGAGTCAGCTGTACTGCCCCTCTTATCCCCCTCCAGGTGACCCAAGGGGCCAATCGGGGGACATGGTGGGTGAGTTTCTGGGGCCTGATTGGTAAGGAAAGGGAATCCCAAGTCCTCCAATCATCTTTTACCCTTTCAAAACCCCTGGTCTAAGTCACTACCAGCTAGCCCATCACAGTTGCAAGGGTGGCTGACTAAGCCTAAGGGAAAGTGATCTGAGGGGTGAAAGGAAAGTCACAGGGAAGATGGAGTAGGCTAGGGACAGATATTCAAAAAGCCCAAGCCTGAATTGATTTAGTCTTCCAAGGTTAGTCTAACCTGCAGAGACTGAACCAATCTGCAAGTGGACAGATATCCACTTTTCATTCTGGAAATGCAGGCCTGTAGTGGCTTAGGCCAGAAGCCTGGGGGTGCGAGAGCAGACCTCCTTCCCTTCCACAGGGAAGCTGAGCTGGGGGGAGGGAAGGGTGTGACCAGACCCCAGCAGGTCTCAGTATGACTGAGGAGAGGTTTAAACCCCAACCTTAGCCTGCAGGATTCAGAGGGTGAGGGAAGAGGGAGCATAGCCAGATGCCCGTGGTAGGGGAGGAGGAGAAGGAGGGGGAGAGCTTTGCCTTCCACAGTGGCTCCCTGACAGCCGGGAGCAATCTGGGTACACAGCTCTGCTACCCAGCCCCGGAGGGGAACTCTTCCCCCTCCTCCTCCATCTCCTTCTTCTCTGCTGCTGCTGCTGGGTGGGGAGTGGGGCTTAATGCTGTGCTGCCCAGCCCTGGAGAAGAACTTGCCCCCCTTCCTCCCCCCACCCCCCCCAAGGCCAGGTTCATCACTTGCCCATCTCCGGCTGAAGCAGCTGCACAGCAGGGCTGGGCCATGGGGGCAGAGCCCTCCCCAGCTGCTGCAGCTAAGTGACAGGGAAGCTGAACCCTTTCAATAACAGCAGCCTGGCTTGGTGTGCACAGGCAGCGGCTGGCCAGGCAGTGGACTACGTGGGCCGGCTCACAGGTGCCAGTGCTTGCTGAGGACACACGAGGCCCCTGCTGCAGGGTGGG